TCCAAATATGCTCATTTGGATCGGATAAGGAACAACAATTCTGGCATCTTACTTGACCATATTCGGCTGCAATATTCCAATATTTGTCTCAATCCAGCTTGTTTGAACTATGTTCTTTCTTTCTATTGTTTTTTGTTGTTTACGAAAAGGGTGAGGCAAAGGAGAGAGCCCAACGCTCAGAAACGATCTTGATAGTTCCTTACTAGTGGGATTATGAGAGTCTTGACCGGGCCTATTACTCTTTTCTGGAATGAACCTAGTTAGATTAGCAAAGTAATTTATCACTGAGTCCCAATGTAGAGTCTAAGACTCGAATTTTCAACATTAGAAAAAAAGTTCGATCGGTCCTCTATTAGACCACCCCACTCAGTGGTAGTGGTAGACTATGTTCCTTCAATTTTTTTTATATATGAGCAGTGCTCCTTAGAAATAATTTAGTGGATCTTATTTACGGACTTAATCACTCTTAACTATTGATTTGACAATGGATTCCATTATTAATTGAATCTGCTATCAATTCAATGATTACGATATATTAGGTCAACAAATAACTCTTAATAGTGTTTTCTTTTTATACATTGTTGTTATACACCGTGGATATGTGCTTTTGTGTGTACAATTCAAAAGTTTTGTATGTAATCACCACACTAACAAAAAAAGAAGGAAAAAATAGAAGTCTTGTTGATAGACGAGTGTGTTTCGTGGAAAGCCCGTTTTTTAGTACGTAAAATTTAAATTAAATGAATTATTATAATTAAAAATTAAATTATAATATAAACCATCAGATCTAAACGACCTGAACTGTTATCATTCTTTTTTAAGTAAGAAGCTTAAGCTGCTCAAAATAGGAAGTTTTGTTTTATTATTATATAGATTCTGATGTTCTCCGATCAACATTAGATTTTAGACAAAGAGTCAACATTAAAAATACTGGATATGAACATCTTTTATAATTTTTTAAATATGACAATTTTACCGTTTCACACAGATACACACTGCACACAGATTTATAAACACACACACACATAATCACATATGCGCACACACACACACACAAACTACACCCACATAAAGTACACACACACACCAAAATACACCCACACACACAAGCACACAAATTTACACACATCTTTTAAGTTGTTTAATTTTTTAAATATTTTTTATTGTTCGGTTAAACAACAACATATACATTTAACATTGTCTGATTTTCTGTTAAAAAATGATTATTAGATAAATGCATATTTTATAAATTTTTTTAAAGTAAAGTGTGATGGAATAAAATTGAAAATTAATTTATTTTCAAACGTAAATTTTGTGTAGTTATCAAATAGTTTGGTTTAATTCAGTGGATATCAAACAGTTTACGAATTAAAAATTTAGTTTTCAACACTTAAAATTAAGTATTCAGTATTTAATTTTTGATTTTATCAAATTCACCTAAGGCTCATGAAGAAGGTGGTCGGATCAAAACAGGACCAACAGTTAGTCCACTTAAAGCCTAATGAACACAATACAGATTATGTGAGACAAAATATTTATTATAACGACGTTAACGCGTTATTATAGTTAAGTGGTGTTATCTTCTAATAAGAACATAAAAAGTGAGTAAATAGATCCTATATATTTTAGTAACCATCACTCTATGTCATTTATAACGACCTCATGGAAAAAAATAGGGTCTCCTTTTATCTATTTTGTTGTGTTTCTATTGTACGACGACACTACATGATATCAATGATATGATGTCACCATTATATTTGAATATTTACTCGTTCTTTGGGCAAGGCTGATATGGTTGCGATAAACGGAATCAAAATCTGAACTCGATATATTATATTTCACCTGCTTGAATTTGGATATATCCATATTCGATCTGATTATAATCCAATCCAGATTAGGTATATATTTTTATGTAAATATTAAAGAAATTACATGATTATTTACATAGATTTAGTTGATTTTTAGGTATTCTTTGTTAAAATTTAGTTAATTAAGTTATTCAGATCGGATCGAATTTTCAAATCGAACTGCAGATTGTTAACTGATTCGTATTTGAACTACGAAAAATAAAATTTGTCAAATTATTGGATCGGCCTCCTAAAATCAAATTCAAATTCGGATCAATCAAAATCTGATCCAAACACAATCCACTGAGATACCTATTTCCAACCCCTATGGAAATTGCATACAATTCCAAATATATACAAAACATCACATATTAGGGTATTACAATTAACAATCAACTAGCATAACCGATGTTACAAGAATTTAGCTTGATTATACTCAGTTAATTACATTTTCCTCAACCCATTGTAATATCAAAAGTATATGTATAAAAATCAGTATTTTTTTAAAAATCCATTTCATTCATTTGGGGTTGCTTCTGTAACTGGATAACCAGCACTGAAAATCATTTTTATATTAAATGGTTTGGTGTTTTTGATAATCCCTTACTTATTGACCACTTATTTTTATTGAACTCAACCTAATATCCCACCCAGTGTTATTTAAGGCATAAAGCGAACCGAAGCGACTAAGGCTTCTAACGCCTAGGCGAGAAGCGAAGCGACACGCTTTATCAAAGCAAAACGAACAGTTAAAAAAAAATATATTTTAGTTTAATTATTTCTAAACAATCTAAGTTCTAATTTTATATATACTAAATATTTAAATGTAAGTAAAACCATAAACATTTAAATTAAACCAAATACTAATAATATCTCAAATCTTAATAACAGTCATAACTTAAACATTTAAATTCAAACAAATACTAACAATTGTATACATTTTCATATTGACAGGGTAAGACAACAAAAGAAGCAGAATCAGGACAGCAGTAGAATTAGCAACAAAAAAAAAAAGCAGAATGAGGATAAAAAAAACAAAAGCAACACAGGACAGCAAAACCGAAGCAGCAACAGAATCAACAAAAAAAAAATAGAAGCAGAATGAGCTAAAAAAAAAAACAGAAGCACAATGATCATGACAGGAGCAGAATCAATTGTAAATAATTTCATATGTAATTATATACTGAATAAAAAAAAGCAGAACAAAGGCACATTTCACATGTACTAAAATAATTAAACATGATATAAGCATAGACCACTTTTTAGTATCATTTGTATATATATAAGAAAAGGGAAAAGTATAACCAAGACATATCAGAGACACTTCTTTGTAGAAGAATCTATTATTTACCCCCATTCCTGATACTCCTGCTTCCTTTTTTTTTTATCATAATTGTTATGCAGTCGCCTGACTCTTACATTCCACAAATATTCTAAATGAATTCAGCAACACAAAAAAAAAAAGGAATGTGTTTTGTTCGAAACATAGTTTATTAGAAAAAAAAAATAGATCAACAATAGTCTTAAAAAAAAGTTATTAGTGTTAAAAAATAAAAGAGACTACTAACCTGTAATCAGAAAAAAAAAAAAGTGAAGCAGAATCGCCTTTTATAATAAAACGTTCGTTTTTTTCGCTTTTTCTCGCTTTTTTCTTGCTTCGCTTGGGGTCCTCCAAGCGAGATAAGCTCGTCTCGCCTCACTTCTCGCCTAGGCGAGCTTTTCAAAATACTGATCCTACCATACCCAACTTTTCTTTTCAAGGAGAGATACACGTGTACTTCCCTTCACCAATCATAATGGATTTACGAGAAAGATCCATCCATTTGATGGAACTAGAAGGTCCACATTGGGTGAAGTTAAAAAGTTCTATTGCTAAATTGGAATAAAATATAGTTTGAGGATTACAATGAAATTCGTGATATAGTTTTGGTGGCCAGATAAATAATTGGGTCAATCACACTTTTCCCCCAAAATATTTCAAAACTTCTTAATTTGCAGTCCCAAGATTAGTTTTTTTGTTTTATACCCTTAATGTCATAAAATGATTGCAATGTGACTCTCATGGTGACTTCTGTTGTCATTTTTGTCAAATATCAATGCATTTAGTGTGGGGGCCACATAGCACATTTGATGAAAATTGCAAAGGAAGCCAATGTGAGAAGGATTGTTAATTTTATCTATTGACATGAAGTCAACCCGACAGAAAATCAAAAAATGACATGATCAATTCAACACGAATGATAAATAGATGAAAATAAAATTAAACATGAATATTATAATTAATGGGTAGTATAAGCAAAAAATAAGTATTTTATATATATTTTTATTATTTTTTTACATAGCATCATATGAGATGTTATAGAATTAAATAATTTTTTATAAATAAGAATGTTGACACGAATACGATACGTACTAAAAATAACACGATCGAAAATGGTATGACATGACATGATTGATATCCCTAAGTATGGGAGACATCTTGCAACTATTTTATGACATTAAGGGGCTGTTTGTTTTAGGAATATGAGTGATATAAGGAAAATAGTACGTAAGATCAACCTTATATCTTGTTTGTTTGATATTTTTTACTAGGTACTAATTTATGGGTCATAGTACTAATCCGGTGTGAACAATAACACTAATATCTTCTACATGGTGCTATTCAATACCAACTACCCGTGGTATAAAATTTTGGTATAAATTTCATGGAGGTATAATATGGTAAAAAGACCCAAATGCCCTAATGTAAAATGACTCATATAAAAGCCAGTTGTAATTTTTGACTTTTTTTAAGGTTATAATTGTCTTTTTATGTTGAATAGTTGTAATTTTTGACTTTTTTAAGTAAGTATTATTTGTGACAAACAAACAAGGGGAATGATGAGATTATAGTTTAAGACCGGGTATAATATAATATTGGATCGGAGTGAAATGGATATAAAATCTAATACCACTTAAATTTATTACCCGAAACAAACAGCTCCTAAGGGTATAAATTGAGAAATTTATTCATTAAGGGCGTAAATTGAGAATTTTAAAAAGTTTTTGAGGGTATAAAGTGTGATTCACCCTAAATAATTTACTTGCTAATTTATGTTACGGAGCTATAAATAACAGTATCGGGTCTGACCTTCATTTCTCTCCATTCGAATTCAAGCCCCAACCCTAGCTTCCTCGCTACATAGTTGTTGACATCTTGTCCTCATCAGAAGCTGCGGACCATCTTCAAACCCTTTCGCTATATTACATTCACACTCACAGGTTCCTCAGATCTGAAATCCTCAAGCTTCATGGGCTCCAAGAGGGGTGACTTTGGCGATGGAGCCAGTCCCGGGTTCGTTCTCTCTCTCTCTCCCCTCAAATTAGGGTTTTAGTTTTATATCATGTGTTAGAGACTATCTAAGATTTTTGTCTTCCTGTTGTGTGTTACAGAAAGATTTTCATTGGCGGCTTAGCGAAAGATACTACCTTGGGTTAGTTTTCAATTTCACTCTAATTTTCATGAACACAGACACACGCTGACATATATATGTAGTGATTATTCTTTGGTCAGAACGAAAACTTTGCTTTCTTTTTACTGATTTGTTGTGGGGTGTGTGTAGATACGTTTGTGAAGTACTTTGGGAAGTATGGAGAGATAACCGATTCGGTTATAATGAAAGATCGGCACACCGGTCGTCCAAGGGGTTTTGGTTTTATCACCTATGCCGATCCCTCGGTTGTAGACACTGTTATTGCTGAAACCCATATCATCAATGGAAAACAAGTGAGTATGACTTGGATTTTTATATTAGGAATTTTTGTAGATCTATTTTTCTTTTGGGTTATTTCTATTTTTGTATGCTTGGTTGGGTTTCATAGAGACGGAGGGAAAGAAGTGAAAATAATGGGTTGAAACTATACTAAATATTTTTAGTGGGTTTTATAAAGAAACTTGGAAGTCTTCGAATCGAAGGTAAATCTGATTTTTAAGGTTTTTTGTAATTTGCACTGGTTTCTTTCTATATTTTTTTTGTAATTTAGACTTATTTTTTACCGTAAGTTTATGAAGGTTGGTATTAACAATCGTTGGTTGGGTTGGTTGGGAAGAATGAAAATTGTAACTTCACATCACACAACTACTTATCTCAGGCTCAACTGACCAAACTTATGAAAACAAAAAGGACGATGGTGAATAAACCAATAAAAAGAAAGGAAAAAGAAAAATTTCAGTTCATAATTTGTTTTGCAAGTTGTAGCAGCCAATGTTTGCTTTCAAACATTCTGCATAAACATTGTTGTTTTCCTTCTGAAAATAGTGTAAATGCTTCATTTGATTGAATAGAAGGGTATTGAATTTGTCATTTCTTACGATGGAACTATGATGCTTGTTAAAGAAGATAATATGAATTGTTATGGATTGTTAAACAGCCTGATTAGAGTGAACTTAGGTTGATTTTGCTAGTTTAATAAAATCTGTACATATTATCATTTCTGATGCTTATGCGATTATGGTACTTTTATTTTGATGCATTTCAAATTTTCTGTAAAGAAAGTTCTCTCACATGCACGTGGCTTGATTAAAAATATTTCCACTTAGTTACATATCATACTAAATGCCTGATAATCTCATTTGGAACGAAAATTTTCCGCTTAGGTCATTTTCCCGTGAGAAGGCGTAGGAGTGAGTTTCACACAAATTAAGAATTGAACTGTTTGTTTGCAGGTTGAGATCAAAAGAACGATTCCAAAAGGCTCTGCTGAATCCAAGGATTTTAGAACAAAGAAAGTATTTGTTGGTGGGATTCCAACGTCTGTAAATGAAGGTCAGACATTTAGCATTTTAATTATAAGTTGTTATAGTAATTAGTATCATGATTCCCATTGTTATCGTTGTTGTTAAGTGGTATTTTATTATGTTTAAAAATTTTTCTTCCCCCTTTTGTCCTCCTCACATTTGAAAGTTGAAACAATTGTTGTGGTCAGATGAGTTCAAGAATTTCTTCTCAAACTATGGGAAAGTGGTGGAGCACGAGATTATTCGAGATCACGCGACCAAACGCTCTAGAGGCTTTGGGTTTGTTGTATTTGATAATGAACAAGTTGTTGATAATATGCTGGTTGATGGTAATATGATTGATATGGCTGGTACAAAGGTGAGTTTGATCAGGCGGTCCCTCATCATATTAGATGTCCTTGGTCATAGCTGCAGTATTTGTACAACAGGAAAAGGTTTCACCTTAATAGATTTTTGTAATGGTATCTTCTTTATATTTCAACAGCTTGCGGGTATCATACTATCTAATTTTGATGAACTAAGCATAGTTTTTATTTCTTTTTTTTTTGTTTGAAACTTCCTTTTTCACTGTTTAGTGCTTAGCTGTCTAAATAATTGATAGGCTGGAAGACATAGGTTAACTTGCTTCTTTGCTGTAGGTTGAGGTCAAGAAGGCTGAACCAAAGAAACCCTCAAACCCAGCTTCAGCTTCTGCATATGGTAGTGACTCTAGGGGACGTGCATACGATGATAGTTTTGGTGGATTTGGCAACTCCTATAGCGGGTTCGGCAGAGGCGGTTTTGGCCCTGCTTCTTATAGGTCATTTGAAGGTAGGTTTGGTGACTATGGTGGGTATGGCGGCAGTGGTGGTCAATTTGGTGGTCGCTATGGGGACTTTGGTGGTAGTGATTTTGGTGGTTATCGTGAAGAGCCATCACTTGGCTATTCTAGTCGCTTTGGTTCTTATGCTGGAGGGTACGTTGGGGGATATGGTGGGAGTGGTTTAGGTGCATATGGCCGTGGAGGTGCAGACTATGGGAGTTATGGCGGGGCAGGCTCTGGTGCTGGTTATGATTCTGGCCCAGGTGCTGGTTATGGTGGAGCAGGAGGGCTGTATGGAAGTAGGGCAGGTTATAGTGGCGGTAGTCGTTACCACCCCTACGCCAGGTAGATTTCCTAATCATAGGAGTTGCACACCGTATCTCAGTTATTGATCTTGTGGTTCAGAGTTGGTAGACATTCAAAGTTCTTACTGCCAGGAGACAATATCTAGAAGATCAGAAGAACCACTAGTTTTTTCTGTTCACTCTATGTCTTAGAGAACCAGATATAGATAATCATCTCTAGAGTATCACCATGTCTGTCTTTTTAAGCTAGTATTGTTTTATTGTAAAATTTGAGTTTGAGTTGATGTATTTTCTAAGGATTTACTTGTTAACACTGCTTGTTATTCCATACATGGACTTAGAAGTGGTCATGGCGAAGCAGTTCTTAGGTCGGGATACTCTTACCAGGTTTTGTTATAGTTAGTTGTTTGTGTGCTTTCTGCAACATTTGTGCTAATCTGCAGTGGTGGACCTCTGCCCCCTTTCTTTTCCCTTTTGGTGGGCCGTTTCTGATAAGTCTGCAGAGGGGCTTAAATATCCAAATTTACTTGGATATTTACAAGCTTTCATTCGTTGTGTGCGCTCCCATTGCATGGTAATTTGGATGAGTTGTGATTTTTGGAGTCCTGGTTTAGCTCACAAGTTCATTTCCTGGGCTAGTGTTCAGACTTGAGGCTTAATTATGGTGCCAATTGAATTGGTTTCTGCACTGCAGAGGTATGGCCTATGGGCTAACCCATTGCTTCTAGAGATGGGGATTTTTATTATGTCATACTTAAGTGTGATCTTGAATGTTTGCCAGAATATTTGATTCATTGTTACATCTTTCCATGTCAAATTTTATTGCTAGTTTTTGGGGTTTTATCGAGCTGGCTAATTTAATTGTATGCATAATGGTTCTGATGAACTTCTTTGGCTTGTCGTAGTGCTGATTCTGTGGACACATTTGTTCTCGAAGTTAACATTTGATGTTTTTCCTGGATGGTCCTCTAGATTTGGTTTCTGTTGATGTGTAATCAATGATAATCATTTAATCGTTGTGTTGTTGTGATTTCCACTAATGCTGTACTTTTCTCGTAAGCCATGGTGGGACCCTGTTGTATAACAATCCTTTCAAAGGCATCCAATAGAATTTTGAAATGTACATTTTCCTTAGCACTATATGGATTACTTGAAATCTTTTGTCAATGGAAGCTGGTTTCGACTCTTTGAATGATACCTCTTGGCTTGGGTGACAAATTTTTTCCTTTAAAGATTGTTGCTGAATGATGAAGCATGCGGAGTTTGATTGTTTTTCAGTAATTGCCGATGTATATAAGTGTTTTAATCCTATCTGAATGGTAGAAGTAGAACAAATATGTATAGAGCAAGATGATTTAAGATTGGATAATTGTCTTCGTTCACACCTGGATTAGCGGGCAGATGAGTTTCTAGTTTAATGGCTTTGTTTGGTTTGTATCTTAGAAATTGTTCTGTTTTTGAAAAGAGTTTTTGGAAGAAAAGTTGTTTGGTTAGTTGTTTTTTGTTTTTATTTTTTGAAAATTGAGAACAAAAATTAGGCAGAATAAGTTATAGTTGTTGTGTGTGTTTTTAAAAATTACCATTCCAAGATTTAGAAAACACCACCACCACCACCATACTTCCACCACCACCACATTTCTACCACCACCATCACACTTCTATAACCACCACGAAATTTCCACTATCACATTTTTGTTTTAATTGTTTTTTGGGTTGTTGTTCAAACAAGTTTTATTATTTTTTATTCTGTAGAACTGTTTTGAGAATTATATAATCAAACAAGTTATGCGATACAAAAAAACACCAAACAAAGTTTTCTAAAATTCTTTCTCAAAACAGTTTTCAGATATCTTTTTTTTGAGATGCAAACTAAATGGGAGTAATTCTCTAAAATGGGCTTGTAGGGGGAGGATGCTGAAGACCCCCCGTGTCAGAGGAGTGGTGTATTGATTATTTCTGGAATTTTGGTGCCTCATTTTGTTCAATTACATAATGTTTGGCACCAGGGAGTGTTTTCTGGCTGTGGCCTTCACTTCCCTTCCAAGACTGATTGCAGGTTTTGGTGCATGGCGTGCCAGAACCTTTTCTTCAACTATCTAAGAGAATGCCTGTCCGGGTTGGCCTCCCCACAAACCCCCCCCCCCCCCCCCCCCCCCCCCCAACACACACACACGCAAAATGGAATTGGAAACAGTGTGTGGTTTGGTAAGCTATTGGGTAAATATGCCTGTTCTTGATTGGGTTCATCATCATCCCCCGCGGTAGAATGTTCACAAACCACTTTGGGCGAGGTTTTGGTGGCTCTGCCAGAACAGTTGGGACACCACCGGTTGTCGGCTTTCTGAAGATGGCCATAATCCTCCTGTCTTTGCTTTGATGGCCTCATGAACTATCTTGACAGCAAATGAGAAGGGCTTTGTCATCAAATCTCCAGCACTGCATTGAGCACATGACCAAGCAATGCCATTGCCAAAATACCCTTTCGGCAGTGGTGGCCGGAACTTCTGCCTACCGTCTGTAGTAGTGAGAAGTTTGGTTGTTTGGTCCGGTTTAATAACTAATGCTTTGGTCCTACCTATCCATATCAGTGCAGAGATCAATTCAAAGCCTGTGGGATCTGAATTGAGTTGAGCACCATCAATGGCCATTGATCTAAGCTTTTTAATCATCTTGGTATCAAAGCAAAAGGATTGCGAAACGGTCTGTTTCTCTCTCCTGTGAAGAGGAATGGTTTTTCTTGCTTGAACTTTGTCACCTGCAATCCACCATTTTATTTATTAGGTCTCACTTGAACTTTGTCACCATGTTAGTACAATTTTTTTGTGATCGAGTCAATCCACAATCAATATATGATGCATGTATTATATTTAGAAAATTAAAAAAAAAATGTATTTAAAAAAAGTCCAAGTCTATGCATGTAATTATATGTGAGACAGTAGATGAAGTGAGTGAATCTCATTCAACTGTACCAAGCAACTTTCAGTTTGTGCCATAACATGATTTATAATTTGAATTCACATCTGATGGCGATCCCTTGTCAAACATAACGATGTTGGTGTGTGGATTTGTAATTGTATTGATGTTAGCTTATCACTTTTTTGAGTTTTTAAATATTAGTGAATCATTTTAATCATGTGCCTATTGGAGTGCCTTCCACAAAACAATCTCTAAATCTGGGAAGTATGGATACGTAATTCATATATGATATAACATAGATATGACGATACGATAAAACTTGAAAAAATAAGACACGAATATGGTCATGATACGTCTATAAGCAAAATTAAGAATTTTTATCTTGAAAAAAGATGTAATATTGTCTCATTATGAAATATTCATGAAGTGAACAGACCCATTAAAGAAATCAAAATTAATATTTAACAAATTTATTTGTTTACAAGTATTTAAAATTGTAGAATAACTAACTCATTTTCTTATACCCTTTTGATGTGTAATAATAAATAATACTTAAAAAATACTTGTGTCTTCAAATGAAAGTTTTATTGATATTTTGTATTGTATGTGAACTCGAAAGACGAGGATATAGATCAAAATTAACAATTATATATATCTTGCTCCATGTTTAAAAAACTAGTAATTGCCCGTGCCTGAAGGTACGGCGTAACGAAAAATTAGATTAAAACTCGAAAAATACTACATTACCTAATAACTTACAATCAGACATAACGTTATCATAATTTATCATACCACCGCAATAATTAAAACATATTCAATCATTAACACATATCCAACCACCAAAACATCAAGTTAATCCCTACTAATTTCAAGAAATTTCTACAGAATTTTCTTTAAAAATAGATCTCCAGAAAAATGTAAACCTATCTACAAAACTTACAATCATCATAATACATCATATCACCACAATCATCACTACATACCCAAACCACCAAAACAACCATCATTTCATACCCAAAATCATCATAACTATGTATAATTAGTTAACTTTACAAAAGACGGAACACAAAAAATATAAACATGCACAAAATAGAGAAACAACTTCATATTCTTTACAACTTAGACCAAGTATCCTTCAATGTATACCTGAAAATATTTGAAATATAAAAATTATCGAAATATGTGAGTCAAAATAAAACAATTGTAAATCCAAAACATAAGACCCTTTACTTTTTTCGTTAGTTAGATTCAATATAATTAATTACATTACCCTGAATTATCTAAAAAACAAATGAGCACACACATTTGTATGTAGTGGGGGGAGGGAAATGATTTAAATTGATATAAGTAAAAATTTAGAGAGTTTGTAACAAATTATCAATTTATTTAGGAAAATATATGGAGAAATGTAGAGACTTATAATCAAATAAGATTTTCTTAGTATAATTTTAATAGACGGTTCATTTGTTTAATGATTTCAATCATAAATCTGTATTGGTGACAGTATAATGGTGTGTGAGTTTGATTTGCGTGTGTTTGATTAATTACAGTTATGTGTGTGTGTTTGTGCATGTATTGTGTTTGTTGTGTGTCTACATAAGAAATAGAGAAATATAGAGTCTTAGTAAGAGAGACTTTCATACCCAGACAATTGTTTGGTCAGTGGTGGTTTAGTCATCGTCAAAGGTGGACATGTCGGTAATGGATTGCATATTATTTAACTCTCTTAAATGTCTTATTCATTCCTTTAAACCTTCTCTTCATCATTATCCTTAATGTCCTCGTATCAATACGAACGCACTTTGCCCAATGAGGAGAATGTATAACCACCTAATTATTCACATAAACAATAAAATTAACACAATATTTATATTGTAGGAATAGTAAAGTTATTTTAATGCAGTGACATAAAATAAATTTATCTAATTACGTCGGCCTCATCCACAAAAGTCCATTATATATACACTATCGTTCTCGTTGACAAATTCACTCCAATCCTATAAAGAATGAATCTCATTGTAAAACTAAAATTTGAAATGTTGAAAAGATTATATAATTCAGTAGAAATAAACTTGTTTAAACTATACCATTTACTTGTCGTAAGAATCTTATAGCAAAACTTCTCGGTAAACAATATTTGTAGTGTAATTCGACTCATCTTCCGGAAGGAGGACTGTAATACGATCTGAAGATGTGCATCTAGATAGTGCCACATAAAAGTGTCCATGACTAAAAACAGGTGTCCGCAAATCAATTCCAATGAACTTGACAGATTGTCCTTGAGCTTTATTGATTGTCATAGCAAAAGTTAATCGGACAGAAAACTGACGTCTTGTAATTTGAAAAGGTAAATCCAAAGATGCGGGTGTCATTGATATTCTCGGAATGAAGACTAAATTACAATTTTATCTCCATTTAATATCTGAGCTTCGATTACCCTTGAGGCACATCTAACAACCATCAATCGCATGTCATTACAAAGTTCATCCTTTGGTGCAATATTTCGTAACAACATTATTGGGCATCCAACTTTCAACTCTAATTTAAACAGTGACAACCCTGAAGGATTCAGCGAGTTTAAGTACTCATTAGGATATTGATTCGTAATGGTACGATCAAGCTCATCAGCTTCAGACATTTTATCTGTAGCTAAAAAAGTAATTGTCTATCTCGGAGTAATATTCAGTGCTGCAACATTTATATCATTGACGTCGTCATTACGCGCAGAGAGAATTGTGCGTTCAATGAGAAATGTTGGAGTCACTATACCAATCACATCCAATTGTGGATAGATTCTAAATATCAATTCATTTAGATTGTGACACCGGTTTATTGTAGATGGAAGTTGCACAATTTCATGTGGATTGGTCCCAATCTAAAAAATGAAATTACAATTAGTCACAAAGTGAGATTTAATTCAAAGGATCATATTAAAAAATTTAACAATTCAAGGTGGAATGAAATATTACCTCCATCAAGAATTTAGCAAAATTAGTATTTCAAACGGCAGTGCGAGTTAATCGCATGTTTAAACCCAGAGTCAAAACACATATATCTTTCCATAGCAAAAACCGTCTCAATGATGCATTCACAATTTGCTCACGAACGCCTTTAGGAATAACAGACAATATTTGTCGAAAGTCTCTACCCAGGACAACAGTGATACCCCCAAAAGATCTTTTATCGTCTCTGATATCTTGAAGGGTGCGATCGACTGCCTCAACACAATATCGATGCTACACAGGAACTTCATCCCATATTATTAGCTTTGTTTTTCTAAACAATTCGGCATGCATTGATTGTTTAGTGAACTCACATATTGAATTGTCTAGGGTTTTCAAAGGAATACAAAATGTAGAATGTGCAGTGCGCCCCCTACCAATAACAACGATGCAATACCAGATGAAACCACAATAACAACAACATGTCCATAGCTACGCAATTTGGTTGCAATGGTATTGTACAAAAACGTTTTCCTCATCCCAGCACCTCCACTCAAAAAAAAAAAGTAGTTCCTATGTTTTCACATACTGACGTTGTGACAGCAGTATAAGCAGTAAGTTGTGCATCAGACTATTGTGCTTCATTCTGAAGTTGTTGATGCTCAAACAGTAATCTATTTCTAACTATTGCATTCTAATTTTCAATTGGTTGTGGCATGGGTGAAAAGTCAACTAAACTCTTCCCCGACTCATGGAGCAATTGATTCATCAAATATAAACCATAATCTTCAATATGATCATCAGTTAGATTTAAAATACCAAACATAGTACGAATCCTATGTGCTAAATCATCACATAAATGTGCTGAGAATTGCTTCCATAATGCAAATGGATGCAATGGAAAGCATTCCGTTAGAATTATAGCAAATAGTCTTCATAATTGGTACCCCGTTCTATAATTGCAGCCTCTTGAAAACATTGTATCCATTCGTCACCATCTTCAAGAAGTCCTCTTGCAACACATGCTGACTTGAATGTATCATGTATAACATTATTTACTATGCGTAGCCAGTCAAATGAAGTAGGTCCTTTAACAACAGTTAGAAGCAAACGCAAATAAAACCGCTCACCTGAATTAGGGCTAGCAAAGTACATTCTACCAATTGCATAACCCCTTTGTCTTGGAGTCCATTTATTGATAGACTTGTTCCAAGCAAATTTTTGTGGAACTTCCTAATAAGTTAATACACGTGCAGATTCATTTGTAGCGCAATAATCAAAAAAGCCAGTTAGAGTTGTTTCTTGATGTGCACCTTTAGAAAGGATCGAATCAAAAGATTCAGCAGGGTTAAAGACCACACGATGCATCCTAGGCAAATGAAGTGCCAATCTTACAACCGACGAAATTTCTTCATGTAAAGGATTACCAAACAATCGCCACGTAGCTTTTGGAGGTCCAATATACCTAGTATCAAGATATTGTTAGATCTCATTAATTCCTCCAAGTACCATTGTTACGCGATCATGTCTTTTATAAATATACTTGTGAATGTATTTTACACATCTGATTCTTGCACAAACTTCAACATTGATATGACAGTTGAACATTCTTGAAAAGTACGGATTATGTGGCACAACATCTCTATTATCAATTTCTTGTCCCCTCACGATGTACTTCTAACCAGTATTACAACAACGATAGACAGGATATCCATCAGAGTCCATGCTTGTTGATTCAACAAATGACCGAGAGTACCGCTTGGTACACACCCTATTATTCATACATGATGCTTGTTGATTTCGAGCACCAC